TATCTTCATATTCATAATTTTATATTCAAATTACTTTAGTTCCAATAAATTAACAAACTTGTTTAAAAAATATTAATAATATTTTTTTACTTAATAAAAAACCGTGTAAGAAATCATAAGAATTTAAACTTAATCAGTCATATTGAAACAGGAGACACGAATAGCTTTCAAAAGTAATTTCTAACTCCTTAGTCATCCAAAGACCACAAAACAAGTCCCTCTCAAATAAAAGAAGATTTTAGTAAGATTTACATAAATACCAAAAAACACGAGTAGCTAAATCTTCACCAAAAGGACTCTGATGTAAGGCCTCTTTCACACGGTCCATAACGATGAGCAAACGAGCGTTTTTTCTCGTAATAACAAGTTTCAGCAAGTCACCGACATGAAAGGCTAAGAAAAATTTAAGAGTTGAATTATGCTGGCATTTGTGTCAACTGGGAGGTTAGTTGAACTCAAGTGTATTATAATGGGCTCTAAGTAGTAAGGTGGGGTCCTATGAGTCGCTTCTAGCATTCTGGGGTGCATTTTGAAATGTAGCTTTCTAGCTAAGATTTTATTTCTATAACATAAAACCATTTATTTTATGGCTTGCTGTGGAAAGTATAAGTTCATTTTCATACTAATATTATTATAATTTATAAAGTTATAATGACCTTGATATCTCACGATGGAGAAGACAGAGATCTAGGTTTAAGAAAGTAAAACAATACTTAAGTATTTTTATTTATTTAAACTTTATGCAACAAAACATTACATAGGCGGACTTAATGCCGTAGGCATTCTCACCAGTCAACCTTAGGGTGATGCAGAGAGAGTATGGTAGGTGCAACAAGAAGAGAACTTTGAGAAGATAAATTAAGATTTAAAAATACAACAAAAACACTAATTTTTCTTTGGTCATTCGTCGTACTTAAAACACTTTATACGAATTCATTTTTACACTTACAACACATCCATCATCCATCAGCCTCTAAGCGCCTCATTCTCATATGGAGAATGAACGAGCATTAATCACCACGTTTCCTCAAGGAGGATAGGCGATTTTAAACTGATGAGTCCAGGTTTTCTGCCAATGGTTTTCTGCACCGCAAATTGCATATAACCCGGAAAAGTCGCATTGTTGCTAGTCAGTTTTTGAACCAGCAAGCTTATGCCTTAGCATCGGGCTCCTTAAACTCCTTGCGAATACGTCTCACGAATACCAATACATAGATAATCTCTCTCTAGTGTCAGACTCTTACTGGCTAAAAACGCCCTTGGCTATTCTTCTGCTTCAGGTCGGGGCTGCGGTACCTTAGTGCGCTTGACCCGCATCCCCACACACACAACACTGAGTCAAGAAAAATCGCACTCTATATGTTTGGCTTTGCGGTTGAACTTTCAAGGAGAGTAAACAGGCAATTACAATTAATTGAGTTAGAAGCTAAACAATAATAGTTCGTTATACCAGAGTTTATTGTGGTTTTTATGGGTCTTAGGTAATAGGAAGTGTCATTAGCACCCATCTTCAGACCGTTCACTTTATGGGTCGTTTCAATCAAAGAGTAAATAAATCTGGTCAAGTATAATTTGTTTCGAAGTTGGTTTGTCTTAATTGATTGGCTGCACTGTTATCGCAGTGGCTTGGTGACACATTCTGTACATCGTTAATTCCATGCACAAAACAAATCTTTTTGTAGTCCACAAATTGCTGTTCTGGGTCTGCGTGACTTGTGCATGTGAATCAGTATGTTTGTAATAACACATACGGCACTGGAGATATATGAAAGAAGAAAAATCTATCGAGAAAAATCTCGCGCTTCAACAAGAAACACCAACCAATATTTTGTAAAATACTCATTTTCAGTTTTTGAATAGAAACTATCGAGATACTAAACTTAAAAAAAAAGTAACGATGGAGTTTCTTGCTCGTTCTTCTCTAATCTACAATTTGGAACAAGCTCCTTGATTCACTGACGAACAGACTGGCAGACTACTTTTCTATTTTGACGTTCCAAAAATAAATACTTATGGTTTAGTTGGAATAACTGGTTTAGATTTGACTTAAGTTATTGAACAACCGACGTGCACGCTGCTCATGAATGAGAACCACATTGTGACTTGAAACTAGTGTAGCTTTCTAAATTAATTCGGGTGAGTAAGTCGATTAATTATTCGCCTGAGTAAGTTTATTTTCAATAAACCCATTTACAGAATCAGAACAATGAATGATTTGTTTTCGAAAAATCGAATCAATTACTAAATAGGTGAAAGTCGAAAAATAAATAATTAAATTAGAAATTATTCTTTTATCTGGAAATTTAGTCTATTAGTGACCTACAAAACTGGTTCCAACAGAATAAACATTTTGATTTTGGCGATGGTCTTTTTGCAATGTCCCTTTCCCTTTGTCCGTACACGGGGCAGTTACTCTCTGTAATCAATACGTTGGGTGGTTAATTTGATAAAACGTGGCCTTGATTGCTTTGACAAAATATCAGTAGCTTTGATCTTTTTAGTTGCCTTTGTGGTACATGACACGAATTGTAATGATGTATTTATGTCTAGTTTGGAAAAAGGTATTTAAAGGTCAGGGTTTTTGTGTTTTGGTAGAAGTACGTTATACAAGTGAATTGGGTATTTTCCAACTAGTCCGTTAGTTTATGGTACATGCGGTTCAAAGGACAAAAGATTGGGAATGAACAGGACTATCAAGAAAAGGTGGTATAGTAAAGCGTATATTGCAGCTATTACAAGGATTTTCGGAAGTAGCTAGTAGCGGTTCGTCTGTGAGCCAGGTGCTGGCGTACTAGTGGTGACCGTAGAATCTTGTTTCAGTTATCGTTCAGAGTATTAATAACATAAATATAATGTAATAATGATAATAATTTATAATGTAATCATAATATAATAATGTAATGAATTTGAAAATTATGGACTAACGTCTTAAATAAAATGATTTTATTTAATTTTATTATTTATTTATTATTATGCCGACACAAATTCTAAACAAACTAGTTATAAAAACAAAATTTGAGAGCTATTTTGTATGATTTTACACCCCGATTCATTTTGAATGTCATGTACAAAATGGAATGAATCAATTCCTATATTTATCATCAACCAATTTTAAATGAAACCAAACAAATAATTAGACCAAACAAACAAATCATACGAAGCCGCATCAAATTACCGCAATAATCAATTAGGTACGAGAATTAATTGATGAAAACAAATTCTAAAATTACAAATATAAATCTACTATTTCCTAATGATATGTAAACAATAAACCATTCGGAAACATTTAATAAATTTAAACCTAAACCCAAACTAACGAAGGGTCTTATCTCTTTCACTGTAATTAACACCTATGTGTTTCCACTGAACGGAATACAAAAGCAACTTTATTTACAACAGTTGAAAAATAGAAAAAGAACCATATGTCAATGGCAAAGGGTGTTGTGTAAGTGTAAATTTAAAATGGTAATTCTGTACCCCTTGTCACAGTCGCTAGGTAAAAATTAATCAGAGTTCCAAACCTTTTGTCTTAGATGATTTCATTCATTTATTTTGTGTATAAACAGTTGCGTAAAACATTTTTTTTTCTTTTTTGTTAAAAAAAAAACGTTGTTCCACACTAGGATTTTCTCCTGTGTCGTGGGTGCGTTTACAAACATACAAATTCACATACACATCACACCCAGACCCGGAATAACAATTTTTGGATCACACAAAGAGTTGTTCCGTGCTGGAATCAAACCCGCGACACGTTGCACGACAGCCAGAGGCCCAGCCACCGCGCCAACCATCCAGTTAAAATTTTTAGAAATAAAATTTTCTAGACCGTTGGTAAGGCACGTTTTCTATTCCAATTTTCATACTCCAAACACTTTGTTAATATTGCATGCGATTCTGTTGAATATTATCCCAAAATTTCGGGAATGTTGGGATAATTTTAATGTGATATACAAGTGTAAGAATAAATCCTATATAATTCGAGCTGACAATTTCGTAGAAAAATGTCTCAAATTCGGTGTATGTTAAAAATAGCTACTTAATTGAAATCATATTAGGTGTGCCGTTGTCATGAATTTTGATATGGCAAATATTATATTCTTAGACTGTAGGTACTGCTAAATATATAGCTAAAAACCAGTTTATCTTGATCTCTCTTTGGATGATTTCTCCGCACAATCAAAGGTCGGTTTATACTGGCGTTTACTTGGTACGAACCAGTATAAACTGATCGCTGAATGTATAGAAAAACCATTCAAAGTGAGATCATGATAGAATGGTTGGTGTAGCTACATATGTAATGCTTTTCTCATAAAGTTTAATACTACAAAATATCAATATTCTTTTAAAAAAATAAAATTTAGTTACAGTAACCACTTTGGAGAAGTTTCTAAACGAATACATTTTAGTCACATCATCATCAGTCCATAAGTGACCACTGCTGAGCAAAGGCCTCTTCTCACACGGAGAAAGTTTGAGCATTAATCACCACGCTTGAACCCACGCCCTCATGCATGAGAAGCGGGCTCCTTAACCTCCGGGCCACCACATTTTAATCAGAATGCTAAAATAAAATGTTTATAAATAATTGTCAATAATATGTGAAGCCATGGTTTTACCCCTATAACCCTGCCTACCACACCGAAATGGAGCGTCAGTCTCTACTAAAGCCACTACGTTACCACCCTTGCTTCAGGCTGGGGCCTCGGTACGTTATTGCGTTTGCCCCCATAACCTGGCTGAACATCAGCCCTATTGAGTTCCATGTGTTGCCATCTTATGACTTTATGAAGCGCGCATGGAATGCTAAGTAGACACCCACCCACCCTTACCTGGTCCGCAGACTCGCACAGATTGATGCCCGATACCTGACGTCCTGAGTGGCTCTTTATGCGGCAGCTGGGTCATGAGGAGGATCAGTCAATTGCGCGCCTTGCCTTCTTCCTTGCGAGCATGATTGCTTCGCAGAAAGAGGAGACGACTTTCCAGTTCCATGGCCTCGACTAAGGCAGGTCGCGAGAGGATACTACCGCTGCCGCAAATACGGACACCGCTGCTACCATATGCCCCGCCATATCCTCCGAATAGTCCTCACAGTGACGATACTCAGGCTTTTTCTCCTATGGGTCAGAAAATATTCACCTCTTTTGATTACGATCATGTTTAAAGATTCAGGTCCATAACAAAGCAATACCCCACATTCGATCTATGTGTGGTCCCAGTCAATTGACCACCCACTACACATCAGCTCAAGTACAACGTTTGATAAGGTCACAATATTATAATATCATCATCATATGCCTAAAAAGGACTTTTCTCAACGGAGTAGGTATATGCTTAAACAGGATAGGCGATTTCAAACTCATAATAAAAAAAATGTGACAAGGTTCCCCAAAAGTGCGTCTGAACCACTTCAAAAAAGACAGATAACCCTGAAATGTCACATTGGAACTTGCCAGATGCCAAATCCTTCATTCATTAGAAACCTTAACCACATGATTGTATTTAATGTTACAACATGTACTCTAATTCAATCTGGTAATGACTTTGTCTACATACTTTTCAAACAACATTAACTATTTATCATTAACTAATTAGTAGTAGCTAATAGAAAATTGCTCGCAGTGCAAAACTTTATTAAAAATTAAAGTTTACTTTAAAGCAAATTGAATCTTTGATCAGGTATGTATAAAAGGCCAAAAGAGTTACTAATAATAGAAAAAACTTCGTCAGTTTTTTGATGCGGGAATTTATATTCTTCTTTCAACTTCTCCCCACCCACTGAGTGGGAGTGTAAGACTCTTACTGACAAAACCGCACCGTTTCTTCTCCTTTTTTTTGCAGCTGCGAAAAATTACTTACGCATACACACACCGCCCGGGAAGACGGTCAGGTTATGTGGGGCTTGCACCCACTAAAAAGACAGCATTCGTGCCGTCTTCTGCCTTTTTTTTGCCACAAAGACCAAAAACGACTTTCGTGACTTCTCGGCAGTGGCTGGTCGCCTCCATCTAATGACCACGTTCCTTCTCCTGCTCTAGGTCGCGGTATTGTGCTTTCCCCGCAACCACGACTGCACACCGGCCCAGTCCGACCCCATCTGAGTTGGTCTACTGGGTCTTTAAGCCGCACGCGGAACGCTACGCACCGTATAGTCAGGTCTGATTATATGCACTTGCATTCTTCACATATGTGACGTCATTGTTGTTAAAATACAGTCCTACTTTTGTGCTTTATGGCGTCATAGTTATAATTAAGAATAATTATTGACACGAGAGGATCATAAATCACAGTAACGTGCAATTAGGGAGGAACTATTAGATTTATAGGAATTAGGAATAAAAAATATATTTCAAGGGCACACAGTTATTCTTTTAAATATATGTATTTGTTGTTTAAGAAAAGGTACTATTTATGTTCCTTTTGAACGTTATGCCTTAATAAATTTATCGAATCTGTGGACTGGGAATAAAACCCATAGCTTTGAAGTCATTTTTCTAAATTTAAAGAACCGGATCGTGTTTTGTCGCCATTTCCTTTATAAGTCAATTAGTACTCATTTGTTGAAAATTTACTAGAAAAATCTTTTTTTATATATTACTTAATGAATGAAAGTAGGATATATTTTATTAAATATATTTTTGCGTTGTAAAGTTTTTTTTAAATGAAATGCGTAAATCTATGATAATGTTCTACGACAGGTTTATAATGTAGCAATAATACCTAGCTGCAATATCCTGTTTCAACTTGTTTGCCATGCCGCCATCTTCTTCACTATACTGCACTTAAGGATGCAATGGCGGACAGATTTAGTAGATGAACTTGGATATTAAATTTATATGCTTCACAAAATCAAATAATTCATTTTAAAAAGATCACTAAAGGTACTATCGATCATTAAAAAGTTAACCTTTTTGTATATAAAGGTTAACTTTTTGATATTTTCTCAAATAGACAAAGTTACTACACCTAAAAACTAAAAACCATTTAATTTTTGAAAGAAATACATTGAACGTACCTAAAGACACAAATCTGAATAGGAACAATTAAAAAAAGAGAAAAATCCGTAACAAAAAAGAAGCAGAATTAATTCCGCAATGCCGGCTTGTTTAAAAAATGTTTTTAACAAAAGCTATAGAATTTTACGGCCGCCAGTGTATCGGGGCATAATTCGAGTGTGCTAGCATCAAATACGGCCCAGTTATTATGAGCGGGCTTCCCGTAAGACTTAATTAAAACTGTGTTCCTTATTGCCAACGAGAAAATTATTCCATTATGCATAAAGCTTAAATTGCCTTGTACATGAAAAGAAATGCCATGTAAGTAAATTTTGTATTGTTACTTTGAAACAGGAGTAAAATGCATAGTTTGGCTATGTTTGGTACGTCGTGTTTTAATGCGAAAACATTTCGTTGTAGGATAGAATGAAATTGCAAAATTGGTTTATGTGAAAAGGTTTGTTGTCAGTTTCGTCAGTTTTATTTGGTTGTCCAAAAGAATGCTGTTTTTAACCGAATCATTTAGTCATTATCAACCTATAAATGTTGAGCAAAACCGGTCTCTTCTCATTAATCATCACGCTTGCTCAAGCAATTGGTGATTTCAAACTTATAATTTAAAATAATAAGTCTAATTCACTGCCGCACGATGTTTTCCTCATGGTAGTATAGTATTCTAATAGTAAGTGGTAACCTGGTAGGTTATCTATCTCTCTCGCCACAACCAGGGTGAGCTTAACTATATGCCACCTCAAAAAAAAAACGCAGCCTTTAAACTAAGTGGTGGATTTGTTACGAAAGATTGAATTATGTCACAATGCCAGGATTGGATTTCGAATAAACAATGCTCATTAAAATGAAAATATGATTGAGTTTGAGTTTTTTGCTACCTATGTAAGTTCTTCTTAATGTTACAGTGCGCTCTGAGTGTCTGTGTGTTCTTGTAGTTCTTAGCGCACGGGATGCGGGCTAAATCTAATCCCGTCTTGGTTCACACTATACTACTACCACTGCAGATAATAATCATATAATATTATGTTCTCTTTAGTGTTTCTTTTTATTTATTAATATACTTTGTATGACTATACGTAGGAAAGTATTTTTTTTAATGGCATAGACTCATAATATCATAGGAGTCACTACAAGTGCATTGTCGGCCTCATGTGGGTTATTCAGGATTTAAGGATAATATTGGATTGTAATTTAATGGGGTGAGGGAGGATTAAGCCTCCAACAACTTCACTAACACGGTGAAATACAACACAATATCTATAGTGTTTCTTCACGCCAGATTTTTTTTTCGGAATGGGCAAGCATTTGGTCTCTATCACGCCTAGTGGTAAACGATAAAGCGACCACCGATGGAGCACGCCTACCCATAAGCAACCTATTCACTCGGGCCTTGAAGACATCCAGGTTATATAATAGCCTTTTCTGTAAAGGCCGAAGCTTGGCACTCCTACACTATATGTATAGTGTTTATTTAAATAATCCCATGTTGTGTTTATTTGATTACATTACTGTACTATTGAAATGGTATTGTAATTACTGATGGTGTATGTGATAATGAACTTAACACCCATAATATGTCAAGTATTGCAATGAAACGTATCCATTTCACAAGTGTCATAAATGTTTGATGCTTTTTCAAAAATATATAATTAATTAGTGTCTTCTTTGAAAGGAAAAATACAATACCCGCCTTGGTTGGGGCAAAAGGGAGAGTCAGAATCTTACTGAGTGTTAACCAAAACATTGCATCTGCTCCAAGTCGAGCCATGGTCCCTTCATCATGATGTTCTTACCGGCCATGAATCCAAAATCCATATAGATTATTATTAATTGTGCTACTCGTATATTGTCAACGTGTCAACCAGTTTTTGAGGTCACCAAATCCTTCCCCTTTTCCATTCCTAACCAATCCCTAAATCTCCGAAACCCTAATCCCCGGAAATCTGCAATCACACTCGTAACTTTTTTGGTATTGCTGGATTGCTAATGGTAAGCAATCGTGATAATAAATAAATAAATAAATAAAAAATGATAATAAAGAAAAATAATGGTTTAAATACGTTTTTAATTGTAACAAAGAACTATTGAAACAAATGAAATCTAAAATTAAGGGAAATTTTCATTTGAAATTGACACCTGAAGCAATAATCTTACTACAAATATGATAACAAAACACAGAAGTAAATAAGTTCTAGTTTTCAATAACTGTGTTGCAATCAATTCCCTTTATAATGTTAGATAAGATGACTGCTTTTAACAAAGTACACAGGTACAATAATAAGCCTTAAGTCTAAACTCTTTAGACATGGCAACGGAGAATCGCTTTATCTCTCGCTGACCTCAGCGATGTGTTAACTTAGGGCTACAGTATTTTTATTAAGAGGGTTCTCACTGATCAATAAATAAACTCTTCTCGAACAAGGCCAGAGGGAATGTTTAACTCTTACTGTTTAAAAAAAAAGCCCCGTTCTTTTTCCTGTTCCAGGCTTAACTTGGGTAAAACTGCACAGAAACTGTGTTTTGTCTGACGTAACATTTGAGCAAATAGTTGAAGAATTTTTATATAATTCCATTTAGTCTAAATTTTTAAAATTCTTTTTGGGCCGCTGAATGACAATTGACGTTAAAAGTATAATCAAATATTATTTTCTTAGTCATAGATCCTCTTACTTCTCTAATAACACATGAAGTACGGTACTAAAAGGGTGAAACTATTCTTTTTTATGACAAAAGCCCAGTTTTAAATACTTAAATGATAAAAATATTAATTTGTTGCTACTAGTTTTTTAAGCATTAAAAATCTATCTTGCGACTTTTGTAGAAGAAAAATAATATTTTGAAAACACATTTTTTAATAATATTACAAGGTAAACTGCATTTCTTAGTTCCTTATTTTCGATATTGAAGTACCTAATACTGCCTCGTGGCCCAGATTAGAAATGTTGAGAGCATCTTAAGATAAAATACTGATGTTTTAATTAAACACGTGTAAAACGAGGAAATTTATACATTTTTGAATAGGGACTTATCGTATTTAGTGAAATAATTAGAAGAATCTTACAAAGCTCACCTTTTATCCATGTTCTGAGTTTTTACACGTAATAAGGCTC